CGGCTACAAGAAGCGGGCCGCGTGCCTGTGTTTCCGCAGCGAGAGCGAGGAGGAGGTGAGGCGCTGGGCCCGGCGGGCTGCGGGTCCCCGGGTTCGGTGGCCGCTTCGGGCCGAGACGCGGGGGGCGCGGCCGTCAGGGGAGGGTGTGCCCGGGTCCCAGGCTGGGCCTCTCCGCTCGGCCCGAAAAAGTTCCGACGGAATTTCTGAGGCGAAGAATAGGGGGAAGGAAAAAGGATGATGGGTGGAGGGGAAGTGGGTCTGAGCGTGGCCGTACGGCACGAGCCAGGCCGACTGGGACGCCAGTCCGCGGCCGGGGCACTTCGGAGCGGGTCGCCTATCATTGGGGAGAGTGGCCGTGGGCAGAAGGCAGTGGGTGGGGAAGAGTGTGGCTTTCGGTCTAAGCTTACCGCTTTGGATCCAGGAAGGGCCGCTCCGCACTTGTCAGCCCAGCACATGTGTGCAGAGGCCGCCGTGCACGAGGCGTGGGCCGTCCCTTTGTGGCAGAGAAAGAGTCCACTTCCTTGGCAGGTTTGAGGTTTGCCGAGGGATTATGTGCGTCTGTGAGCCCAAGGTGGGGGCTTTTAGGAAGATTTAGGGCGTTGTACAAAATCCAAAGCCAGTTGTTTATTTTACAACGCGCTGGGTAGCCCTTAGGGTGTAGGCTAAGAAGAAAGAATACTTGATGAGATCATTTTTGTGGGCTGAAAAATTTTCATTTTAATTGGGAAGGCCAAAAGCAGTATTTAAGATTCCTACACTGCCCTATAGGAAGGCCTTTAGGATTAAAATTGTTAGCAAAATAGAAATGCTTAAAATCCGTTTTTGTGGGGTTTTTTGCATAAGGTACTTTAAAAAAATCTCAGCTCCCCAAAGCCGTTTCTCTGGTGATAAAGGGAATTCAGAGAAGGCAAATGTTTTGTAAATCCTCAAAGAATAGCTGCTTTGGAAATTCATAAGATGCCTGTGGGAACGCATTTCTCTCGTGTGCATGGTGGTAAAATGGCAGTTAAACTGGAAACAATGAAGGACAGCGAAATTCAATATGCTATATTCCGGCAGTCAGTAGTGGGCTATCGTGGCAGGGCTGCAAGTACAGTGCGTCGTGTTGAAATGGAGAGAAAAGAACTTGACCCTTTAGTTATGAAAAGAAGCTGTGATGAAAGAGACAGATGGGTTGCCAGGAGTTGCTGTCCAAAGATATTTAGGAGGAAGTGGGAATTTAAATTATTGCCTGGGAAAAAAAAAGTTAATAAAGCCCACTGTAATTGTGCTGTTGAGGGATATTGTGTGTTCCCTTTCAGCAAAACAGTAGGAAACAGGATTTGGAAATGTATACTTTGTGCCCTTGCAAATATTGTAAAAGCCTTCAAAACCGACGCATTGTTAAAGCAGTGCTAAGCAAGGCCATGCTGTAAATTATGTACTTTTTTTGGAATACATACTTGACTAAAGTAAAATTATTGATGGTGTTTACTGCTCCAGAAGCTTTGCTCTCTTCATTATCATGTCATTTATGGGAAATCAGATGGGATCACAGGCTGTTAACTAGAGGGAAAATGAATTAGCATAATAACATACCTTACTGCAGTACTATGGTTAAATCTGTGAGCACCCCAATTATAAGAAGGGTGGATAATTTACTTGTATGAATGATACAAGACTTTGTTTAAAAAAATCATATAAGAAATTGAGGACATATGACTATCTTGAATAAGTTGGAAACCCTTTATAGATCTTAAGCAAACTAATGAAGACTTGATTTTCCATTTTCTGTTCAAGTTTTATTATGTACTGACATAAGCAGTGTTAATGTTAAAACATTTGACTGATCGTGGAGTTTCCTCTCTTGAATTTCTTTTTAAACATGGGTTAATGAGCAGAAGATTCATGCAGATCTTTAATTACAGATTCAGTAGCTGCTACAGCTAAAGCCCTAGGAAGAATAAGAAAATTAATGAAATGGGTGCATTTCAGATTTAAGCTATGTATTAAGAGCCTACTCTAGGTGAGGCATTCTGTAATGTGGGGTTTAAAGCTAAACATCTCTCCCTGCCCCAAAAACTTGAGTAGTTTTTGATTAGAATCCTTAATTGGGAGGGATTTGGGGATCACAGAATAATCTCTAGGGTGCCATTCAACTCTCAGATTATATAATTGTGTTGGAAGGGAAGTAATTTGTTAGTTCCAGGAGAACTTTTATGTTCTCAATAGTAGTGCCAAAAACTGAAAGTATTAGCTGCCGCACATTGTGGGAATGTGAAATTCAAACTCAATAGGACATTCAGCCCAACTTTATTTTTTAATGGGCACTAATGGCTTTAATCAAAATAGAATAGTTTACAGAATATTATTAGCATTAATACAATAATAATGTAAGTATAACTTGGACCCTGATTTGTAAGTATAATTAACCAATGTCAGGAAACATACATACAATGTAAAGAAAAACAGATGGAAAATATTAGCAGATAATGGACCATGACTCAAACCTTCTAACATTCCTTTTTTTTAAGCCCCAGAAAATTTTATTTATAGGCCAGCAGTGATAGCAGCTGAAATACTGATCCAGGTTAGGATGTGTGAACATATTCAGCAAGTTTACTGGGCAAGTCTATTGAGCACTCACTGAGTGTCAGGTTCTGTGATACAATTACAAAGGAGACAGACGTGCAGGGAGCTTATCGGCTAGTGGGACAGACCCAACATGATGAAAATGAGTTCTCTTTCCTTCAAACCTCTGGCTGCTTTTCCTGTTGATAAACAAGAATCAGTAGCAGGAAAGTCCCCCCACTTAGATGTTTTACTAATTGTTACTGACGTTTTGATAAATTAAAATCTTTAAGCTTGGGGTGCTCATGGTAGCTAACATGACTTGATGTAACAGCTTGATGTACAGTGGGCAGTCTCTTGCCCAGCCTCTGCTCTAACAAACATGATGCACTGCATGCTTGCTGTTACTCTGTATGTTGCTGGGTCTGACAGGCCCCCACCCATGTGGCCTCTCAACCAATCAAGTGTTTACAAAGAGTCAGTTGTATTTATCTGTGTATCTGTTTATGTTCATTGTACTTACTATTGTAATTATACAGTATAACTGAATATGACGTCAGCTGTTGACGTTTGATTTTAAAAAGAATGATTTTGTGAGAAGTATTTCAGATGCTTTGGAATAACTCGATAATTTCAAGTTACTAAAAGAAATTGTTCAATTATATGGATAAGCAAACTACAAAAGATGGAGAGGGAATCTTAAAAGTCTAGAAGGACTCTGCACATAGATTACTTCATGAATGTTTTCAGATTTTTGTTTTTCTTCATAGGAATTAGAACTAGAAAATACAAGTCATGCATGGTAGGTGTGGTATATGAAAGACAACTTGCAGTTCAGCAATAGACCCACATTCAAGACATCATGGATCTACTAACAAAGATTAGCAAATAAATATACATTTATGTTTTTATTCTACCATATCTTCCAATTAGCATTTTATCATAAACAGTATAGAAGACTGAAACATTTCTTTGTTTTCTTCTTGCGGGGAGGTAATTAGGTTTAGTTATTTATTTTATTTTTAGAAGTGCTGGGGATTAAACCCAGGACCTGCTGTACACTTAGCATGCACTCTACCACTTGAGCTGTACCTTCCCCTCTTGAACATATTTCTTGAGTAAAATTTTGTTGTACTAAATTGGGTAATATGACGTTCATCTTTGTTGTGTAATTCACCTTGGGCCTTCCTAAAGCACTTCCTTTTCCTGTTTCCCTCATTTCTTTCCTTTCTTGGAGCCTCTGTGATTACAGAATGCGAGTCACACTGGGGGTGGGCTTGCTTGTACTCTGCGTACCCTCCCTGGACTGGGGTTGGGGAGTGTAACACAGGCGTTTTTAGACAGTTGAAATATCTATTTAGACAGTTGAAATACTCTCTTAGAAAGGCCACTGAGACAGACTATATAGCAGATATCATCACAGTGCCGGGGAAAGTTACGCTGCTCCTGAAGGGTCTGTGTTTACTCGGAGAAAAGTGAGTACGATAGGAGTGTCTCAGTAAAATTTCCCTGTACATTAAAACTATTTTAAAAAAGAAAAGACAGAACTGCCGTTAAAGGTCTTTGTTGAGTTTTTCCATCAGGAGGCTTCTCGTTTGCTTCTCATTTTCTCAGATCCTTGAGCTCTCTAGGAGGGATGGGAAGATGATGGACATTGAAGACTCTTAGTGAGTGGAGACTCTGGTGGCCTGAGTGTCAGTAAAAATGCCCCAAAGGAGCAGGTAGAAGGACGTCACTGCAGGCCACACCTTCCCCCAGGCTCTAGAGAGGGGAGTAAGGCCCAGGTGGCAACCCCAGAGGCAGTAACCATGAAGAAGGGCTTCCAGTAGATCCCAGGCTGGCTGTGTGGCTGGGGAGTCTTTTTGTAGCCTATCTTGGTCATTGTACAGTATTACATTGCTCTAAGAGCACCATGTGTGCGTTGATCCTGTGTGTGTGTGTGTGTGTGTGTGTGTGTGTGTATATGCTTCCCCTATATAGTTAGTCACTTAGGTGTTTTCTCCCATTATCTCCTTTTCTACTTACTTCCTGGGATGTGAATTCTGGTCTGAAATCATACTGCATTCTCCCTACTTTTTTCCCATTCCTTGCCCTAATCTTTTGCTTTTGGATGATTCTCATTTCTCAGTAAATATGTCATTGTGTATCTACTGTGTTAAGCAATCTATATTTTTCTTCAGAGCATAGTACAAAAAGGAAGGGCCCTTGTTCAACAATACATTTGTTTATTCATTCCTTCAGCACATGTTTTCTTGGGGAGGGGGTGATAATTGGGTTTTATTTATTTATTTTTAATGGAGGTACTGGGGATTGAACCCAGGACCTCCTGCATGCTAAGCATGCACTCTACTTGAGCTATACCCTCCCCTCAGCACACGTTTTTTTTGAGAGCCCTGCTATGAACTAGTCTCTGTGCAAGATCCTGGGACTACATGGATAAATGAGACTGTGCTCCCTTATAAAGCCAAACGCTCTGCCCGCTGTGCACTTGTGCCCATCCCCTCC